GCAGAGTGGGGCTTACATCCAGGGCCTATCAGGACACTGGCATTTGCAAGTGACGGGATCTCACCTCAGAGGAACGTAAGCAAAGACAATGAATGCGCTGATTCATAACTAAAAAATCCAGGAGTGGTTGCAAATAGATCCAGGGTCTCAATTTATGTGTGTCTGTCTATCTGTCCACCCCCACCCCCAAATGGGCTTTCCCCCAGGGTGGCCAGAGCCATGGCTGGCTGACAGCCCAGAGCTCAGGTCATGCCAGCCCTGTGACCCAAGTGGAGGGTCACTTCCTCAAAACTGGGTGAGACACGGGCCTGAGGGGCCACTCCGGGCCCAGCATGAGTCATCGCAGCTGGGACCTGGGTGCTCTGACCCAGGCGTCTGGGTCACAGCTGACGCAGGACGATCCATGACTCACAAGCTTAATATGCTCATTACCGTTTATAAAATAAAGTCTTTAAGGCAGAACTCTATGAGGCTTCCAGAAAAATGGCAAAGGTGGGACACGGAGTTCTCGCATACCCCGCACCAGCCTCCCTTGTCACAATCAGTGAAACCAGTATCCATCCAGCGTTCTCGACGCAGGTCCAAGCCTTGGTTGGATTGTCTTGTTTTTGTTTTGCTTTGTTTTATTTCGTTTTCCTAATATCCTTGATCTGTTCCGGGATCCTGCCCAGGAAACCACATGAGATCCAGTCATCTTGTCTCCTGAGGCACCTCTTGGTTGGGACGGTTTCTCAGACTTTCCCAGATTCTGGTGACCTTGACAGTTTAGAGGAGGGCTGGTCAGCTATTTTGCCCCTCGATTGAGATCCGTCTGATGTTGTTCTCATGAGTAGACTGGGGTGTGGGTTGAGGGGGAAGCCAGAGGCGAGGAGCAATTTGAATCGCGTCAGGTCCGGGGTGCACGCCGTCCGCACGCTGTCCACATGCCCTGTCACCGTCCACGTTGAGCTCGGTCCCCTGGCTGTGATGTGTCTGACAGGTCTCTTCTCTGTGCAGTCACCCCATTTCCCCTCCCTCAGCGTCCTCTTTGAGAGGAAGTCACTGTGCACCGTCCCCAAGGAAGGAGAGTGAGCTGTGCTCCGTATCCATTGGCATCAGTTATTCTGAATTCTTCTGTATGGGAAATTTGTCTCTTCTCCCCTACACATTTGTTTGTTCAACCATTTATGTATATCTGTATGGACTCATGGATATTTAGTTAATTCTTTGGGTTATAATCCAATGCTACTTTGTTTATTTTCTTACTCCAATTGTTCCAGTTTTGGTCACTGGGAGCTCTTTCAGTAGGCTCCTGGGTCCCTTGGACATTCTCTACATGTGCTTTTCCATTTTCCTCCCTTTGCTCCTTCCCTCTCTCCTTCCTTCCTTCCTTCCTTCCTTCTTTCCTTCCCCCCTCTCTCTTTCTTTTTCCTTTCTTTCTTTCACACTTCCTTACTTTCTGGCACCACAAGATGCTCAGCTCCTCTCGTGTACTTCTTGCCCTGGTTGTAGATCAGCCATGTCCCCAGGAGCCTGGACTGGAGGGTGGTATCTGAGACCAGCATCCGGTGCTGGCTGTGCTCATTACTTCTGGGCTGTCTCAGCTGACAGACCAAGAAAATATATGTGTATATACTGACTTGTGTGTAGACACAGACCCACAACCTCTGTATCTATATCACGTCTGATGTGATCATATTGGCATCTTCAACTCTAGCCTGTTACCACACAAAATAATCTTTCCGGCCCCTCCTCTTGCTTATGCACCCCCCCACCTCCCACGGTGAAGCCCAGTATCTATGTGTCCTGATGTTTGGAGAGCCCATTATGGGTGGGTGGGCTCTCAGGGCCTGGCCACCCGGATGCGGAGGTGAGGAGGGGTACACAGCAGGAGCTACCCGCTTCCGGCTCTAGGTCTGTGGCTGCGGAACATTCCAGGCTCCCTGCCCTGCAGCGTCAGCAGTTAGCCTTCTCCTGTGGAATTCACGGGCCGTGGAGATGCTTGTCTGTACAGCGTTCGATGAAGGGCCTGGACAGATGCCCCTCTCCCACCCTGGCTGGGGCAGAACGCGGAGCCTGTAGAAAGCCGGAGATAGTAGGAAGGATGTTCTCATGAGAACTTGTGTGGGTGGCAGGCAAGTGGCTTCCCAGGCTCTGCAAACTGTGGAGGGCTTGCGAGAGAATGAATGATCGTGCTGGGAGGGGACCTATCAGACCAGCTAGGGGAGGTCTAGGCAGGGCCCCCGGATGTAAAAGGAATGAAGACTCTCGGCGTGCTGATTTTGATTTAAGCAGTGAGCCTCTTGAAGGGAGGCCCAAGGTTGAAACAGCAACTTCAAAGTAAGCTGTTGAGAGGTGGCCCTTGTCTTGCCCTTCCTCCAAAGCGACCTGCCCCTTCAAAGTCCCCAGACCCAGGTAGCTTAGGCAGGGCCCCCGGGAGCCCACCTGGTGAAACCGATGGTTTTGTAACAGATTGGAGGCGGGGTCTGCTCCTGGAACAGCGCTCCTGCAGACTGGCGCTGACGCCTTCCTGTCACTTTGTCGTCCCTGGACACGCTGGGCCTGTGAGCTTGAAGTAGGCTACCCTGCCGGCCGGCTGGCCCACTGTGAGCTGCCACTGTGGCCAGGAGGCACTCTGTGCTTTGTGGGTCAGCAGAACTGGCCTTAGTATTTTGCTCAAAAATAGCTCAACTCTGACCTTCAGGGAATATGGAAAATCCTCATAGAAACTGAACCCTGGTATTGGTTTTCTGTGGACACGTGAGCTACCATTTTCAGAGTGCCCAGAGTGAAGAAAACCGTCTTCTGTGTTTCCCTACCCATCTCTGTTACGGAGCTGGAACATTGCCTTGCTTTGCTGTCTGTCACGTGCCCTTTTCCGCATCATGAGGATGAGACGTCATTTCGTACCAGAATTTGCAAGTGAGCTCACAGAGCTCAGAGCTTGATAGTTCTGGGAAGGAGGCATGGACCATAAGAGGCAGCTTTCCTGTGTGTGTGTGTGTGTGTGTGCGCACTGAAAGATCCTATTCGCAAGCCCATTTAGCACCAATGGGGACTGGACGTGAATCTGTCTTCTGGTTAATGCTGATTAATCTCACCCCACCTATAAAACACATACACCCTCTGTGACCTACTCCATGAAAACCTCATAATGGTGGCTTAAGAAAACACACAGTATTCTAGAAATATTCGTTTTTATAATTTTGCAACCCAGATTGATTCTTTTAAGAGATGCCATTATCAGGTACATGGGTTTGATGTAATAATGTGCATGGTAAAAATAATGCACATCCCACGTTCCCAACAAATGTCATTATTTGTCCTGTTTGACAGCTTATACACTGGACTTCTGCTCATTTTCCAGCTTTGAAAACAAAAATGGTGCATAGGGCGCCATCTAATCAGAAAAGGCAAACGTCTTTGGGGAGATATTTCAAGGCTTCTTTATAGATGCTCCTTAACTGAGTTACGGTGTTTGCAGAGTGTTATTAACATGTTACACAATAGCACATTATTACGGTATGAGTATTACAGAACAAGAAAACCATTTGCTTCAGGGGAAAGTTAGTCACTCTGTAGAATAAATATCTAGTAATTTGACAATGTAAGCCTCTCTACTGACTGATTTGATGTTCTGTAGACAGAACTTTAATGAATCATTGTTAAATCTACTTAGCTGCCTCATGGAGGAAGGAAAAAAGCTATCTGTAAGTGAACAAATGAGAAACAGAGAATATGCTCTAGAGCTCTCTGCTTTCTATTCTTTGCTTTAACTGGGGGTGGGGAGTAAGAAAAACTGCCACACCAATTAGGGCTTCCCTGCCTGCCCACCCTGGGGTGGGTGTGAAAAATGTTCATCTTGGACAGTGAGAGAGCTACTTTGCATTTACGTGGAGATGGGCTATGGTGACCTAAGAGGCAAAGCTTTCTTTTTTTTTTTTT